CTTTTTACATTCTATAACTGTGGGGATTTACTAACTATTTGGTTTACATCCTGATAATTGTTTGAATAACAGAAGAATTCTTTCATTGCATTAGAAATGAAAGACATTGTAGCGTTCTTTTATTTCTTAAGCATAATTTGAACATTGTGGTCTTCCAATCTTAGTTATATATCAAAGTTTTTATTTCTTACATTGAATAAAATTTAAGCATAATTTGAACATTGTGGTCGTTCAATCTTAGTTATATATCAAAGTTATAAGAGAGTAATATATGTAATGTATTTGGTTTATGTTTCTTTACTATTAGTAACTGCAAGCATTGGAAGCACATTCTCTTACTTTCTCTTAGACTCTTACTTTTGTTATGGTTTGTTTATTCTGATAGCAAACTTAACCGTGAAAAAAAACAATGACTAAAATCCCCATTTTACCATCAAGATATCATTGTTTGTATGTACAATATAAGCTATATATTGTTTACAATTCTTATATCCTATTCAGGGATAACTAAATATAATTTATTGTGCAGCCGAGTATAAGCCAAGCAAAGACAATCACTTACAGCAAAACCTCCCTCAGAGGCCTCAATGTTAAGGAAGACGAAAGTGGTCTTTTAATTTAAACATGATTACTACATTAAAAATTAACCCTACAAATCCAAAGGTCATGTTATTTTACTAAACATTGAAAACTCAGGGGACTGGTGTAAAGTATCGGTTTTAAAACCTCACCACCCCTTTAAAACCAAATGGTGGTTTACTGTTATTCTTACAAAGGTTTTTGTTTTGAAATTTACCATTATTCAATAAAGCAACTTATCAAATCCGAAAATATAATAAAGAGGAAAGTACCTTTAATGGCGACTTCACGGAAGTTGGTCTTAGTGTTAGAGTACAGCCTCTTCCACTCATCCAATATCATCTTGCTAGGAGGCAAGAGATCAAGTGAATTTTTGGGCTTCGGTTTTGGTGCCTCCTCTTCCTCCTTTGCAGGCTCCTTCTTGACCTCTTTCTTGGCTTCCTTGGGCATTGACTCCTTCTACGTCTTCCTCTTCGATTGCGATTGTCCCTTTCCCCCCCCCCCCCTCTAACGTCAATACATAGGGTCTGTGTTTTTTTTATTTTTAAAATAAATCTTTTTAGGGGTCATTTGGAAAGGATACAAGCTCATCGAAGGAGTTCCTCAGGCTTTACAATCTCTGCGATCTATGGTAATTTCTCAACTCTAATCGCACTTTCATCGATATTGCAGTCATTTGGTCCTCAGGTTTAGTTTGTTTATCTTTATGGTTTTATTCATTTTTATAATTTTATTCATTTTTATGGTCCTTGGAAACAATCAAACTACTGAAAGAAGGAGCATAGAAGATTAACCACAAGACGGTATACCACAAGTATACCAGGTTATCTCTATTAAAGAGTGCAAAGTTTCTCTCTTAGCTGAGCTATTTGTTTCTGTTGGCATGGAAATGCATTCCATTTTAGAACCTTCAGCTTATACTTGGTGAAAGTTTTTAATTGCTTTCGGGACTACTGCAGACATTTCTGGTTAATTCGAGAAGCAACTTATTATTCTTTGTATGGAGCTCCTTTGTCATCATGTTATTTTAATATTTGCATTCTACCTTTTTATGACTACTTTCTATCTCATGCAGCTTGAAGATGGTTTAAAGTTATCTTTCACTGATAAAAGGCGCCTTGCAAAAGTTTGCTTACTTCAAGATGTATTGTCCATTGCCCCAATATGTCCATCTTTCCTATAGATTCTTACATCTTTAGCGTCATTATAACTCTTCACCAATTTGTTGGTGCCGCCAACTTCTGTACCTCCAATAGCCGAGCTTGGTCTGGATGCATTGTTAGAGCCTATGAAGGTGGAGGAATTTGTAGATTCTTTGAGCAAAAAGAAAATTGCAATTAAAGCTCTACTACTCGATCAGGTTGGATATAATTTTTTTCCACAGAATCTCTCATATGTAAGTGCAAGTAATTGTTGAATTAGCAATACTAGAACCACAATGGTTAATGATACATTAGGTGGGTGTGCTGCATTTTGTATCTCCTTTGTGTGCTGCTACTCACCCATTCACAAGAAAATCCATTTATATGCGATGGTGATACCTAGGTGCTTTTTTTGTAAAATTTATCTTGCAGAACTCCTTCAAACCCTCCATAGTTGAAGTGTCTTAGTATTGCTGGCTTGACCTGAAAGACATTATATATCGATTTTATGACCATATTTGGTTAATTCACTTAGTTTTCTATCTAATTAAGTCACTTTGTTCTGTGGGTGATTGATAACTATATACCTAAATGATGGATCTATTTTCTGTGTTTCTTGATTTTTTTTTT